ATGAAGATTTTTAAAATTTGATTTTTTATTTCTATCCATCGCAAGCCGGACCGGAGGATTTTAACAAGAACCCCGAACGAAATGGTCATTTTGAGTAGAAATAAAGTAATTATACAGCTAAACATATCAAACTCAATTCATTATGATCTATAATAAAGGTATAAGGATCCTAAATATAAAAAATTAATATAAAATGAGAAATAGAAAGTGAAAGAATAAATCTATAAATTTCCTAATGATATTAAATACTCAACTTATTTGAACCATTATCAACATAATAGTTTATGTGACTAAATACAACACAATCCTTTGCAAATTGATTAGATTAGAACCCCTACCAATTTCAATCAACATGTGGTTTCTCAAATCTTTTCTTCAATGCAATCCATGGATAAAAAAGTTACTTAACTAAAATCCTCGAATTAGTATAGTGTCCCTAAATAAGAAGAGGTCTTAGCTAAAGCAAGGTATTAGGTAATAATATATCTAGGTAATATTACTCTTAAACCTAGAACAAACTATATGCAAATTATCCTTAAAAATAGCAATTTTAATCATAAATATATGGCAAAAAGCAGTAATTCTAATCCCCATAATAATTCGAAAGGAATTAATAATGGAAGGAATCTCCTCAATTTGTCTAATCCCAAATCATTACTCCACCTTAATAATAAAGATATTAATCTGTTTAACATTATCAATAAAAAATGTCAACGACCAGTTATATAGGGGGTTTTTAAAATGTGGCTCAAATTTGAGGTTGGTAATATAAATTAAAATGATTGCAATTAAAATAAATTCCAATTAAATAAAGTACTAGGCTATTCTATATTAATTTCAGCTTAAAGTTAACATTTTCTTTTTATAAACTTACAATTTTTTTTATAATTTCTTCATGGAATATATATTAAAATGCAGCTCATTTTTTAAATATAGACAAATATTATCTATAGCAAACCGTTTTAATTTCAAACCTGAACTCGAAGGGTGATGCTTACTAAATTAGAATAAGAGATTTACTACCATCATATCCAAAATAAGTTCAATATTCTTTCTTTCAAAATTCTATTAATACTAACTTTATTGATTTTCAATAAAAGACTCTAGAATTTTCGAAGAATTGTAATTATTTGCAAATATAAAACAAATATAAAACAAATAATTGAAATTGCTTGAAATAACCCAAATCATCTATAATAAATAAATATCTTAAAATTTCAACAGAATTTCGACAAGGGTACCTCCAAAAGCAAACATTGATAGATTTATTGATTAATGGAATTAATAATCATAAATATAAAATCAAAATGGAGAAATCTTCAATTATTAGTTTGTCCTAAGATATTTAATCTTTAATCAATTAAGATTGGACTTTAGAAAATGGAACTGAATTTCAGATTATTAAATCAACTTTATATAGTTTTACAATTTTCAGATTTTATTGAGATTATGAATAACAATAATCAGGCTTTTGTCTTTTTCTTATAATCATATTTTTAAGTATTAAGTTTAAAATTATATTAATTAGCCTTTTTTGATCTCAAATTATTTCTTAGGTGATAATAAACTGATGATTGATTAACTAATTTTCAAAACTTAATTAGTTATCATATTAAATAATTTAAAATATTTTATTTATTTATAACATATTCATTTGATTGCTCCTTTCTCAATAAATAATTTTTCAAGGTTTTCATTTTCATTATTTTGAATTATTGATTAATTAATTCTACAATAAAATGCTTCTATAAGCGAACTTTTTGTAAATTTATAATAACAAATTGGTAGTTTATAGTTTTTTAATGTTTGCTTATCAATCTAATATAATAGTATTGATCCATCATCCATTCCAATTATGAATTGCTTTTTAGAAGGAGTAAATTATAAATCCATTATTCTAGAACTGAAATTGTTCAAAGTGTACTTTAATTCATTTTTTTCTGTATCAAAAATCTTTAAATCCTCTCTGTATTTGAAAGTACAAAAATATTTTGGTTTCTCATTTTATTAATTTAGAGTAGAAAAATCAAAACCCTATTTGTCTTCAATAACCCCAATTTCTGTAAAATCAGAAATGGTTTAATGAATTAATTCTCCAGATTTACTAAAAATCCTAATTGTTTATGAATCTAAAAATTAAAATGATAGTGCTTCAACTGGTTTTGTTAGATTAATTTTAACTTTTATAGAGTTCTTATCAACAATATCCCACAACCTTATTGTGTGATTTCTTCCTAAAGATAATAGCATGTTCCCATTTTATGAAAAAGCTAAAATCTAAGATTAATATTTTTATTTAAATGAGTTTCCTTCTAATTTTGCAATCAATTAACTTTTTTTTGATGATATATCATACAAATTAAAATAGGTATCAAATTAGATTGCAATCAAATTATTGGCTTCATTAAATCCAGCTGAATAATTATTTAATATAGATGGATCATCAAATGTTTCTTCTAATATTCTAACCTCTCCTAATTGAAAAACGATCATTGCACTCAAAAATCCATACATTCCATAATATTTTTAAGATAGAACTCCATATTCTTCATCTTTTACAGGGAAAATTTATAGACTCTTTGTATCATAAAAAGATAAATTATCAATTGTATAATCAAGTTTTAGATTAAACAACTCTTAAACTTTTATCAAAACAAATCTATCATTCACGTCCCATATATAAATCTTATTATCAATATAACATGAGAATAATAATTTGCCATTACCAGAAAAAACCAATGACATCACTTCTTTATTACTTACTTATGGTTCCTATAATATAGATTCTTTTTATTTTTTATCTATCGACCATATGATTATAGAATCTTGATCTTAAATTGCCAATTTTAAAGTATTTTCACAAATAGCTACATATTTTACTTTATTAACTTATATCCCTTGCATTTATTCATTCTTCAATTCAGATTAATTTATTTAAATTACTTCTAATGGATTTGTTTTTATGAGTATATTTTTTGATAGAATAAATGATCTTGATGGAAAGCTCAGGTTTTCTTAAAATATTAATTTTTTATTTTATTTACAAACCTAATCTAGATTTATAATCAATAACTTAGGATTTTTGTACTTACAGAAAAGTTGAGTTTACTCAATTTTCAATGCCAGATCACTTTCAGATAAACATGAAACTACATAGAAATGTTCGATAATGTATTTTGTATTTAATTTCCAAATATGGATTCCTAGTTAATCATCAAGTGCAGTAAAATATTGACAGTTAGGTGAAAAGCAAACTTAAGTTGGAAGTCTTCGACCTTTTAAAAGAGTATCGATTTTTTTCAGTTCTATTAAGTCCCATCTGATGATTTCAAAATTTGAAATGGATATCAATTAAAAACCATCTGGGGATATGCATAATGATTTAACTGAATCGGAATGACCATCCATTTCAAATTATTACTTTAAAGCTTTCAAATTCCATAACTTTATTACTTTTTCACTTACTTAAGCTATTATTCCTCTTTTTGAGACTTGAATAATTTCTATAGTTGGAGTATAACTTTTGAACATAGATAGCAATTTACAAGTTTTGGCATCCCATAATTTAATTACTAAGTCAGAATAACTTGATATAAAATAAAGTCCATCCTAAGAAAATATAACCTGTTTCAATTTTTGAATTGTGGCATCTTCAATCACTTCAAAGAATTAAATTATTTTGTTCGTTTCTAAATCAATAAGAGCTGATTTTTATTTTTATTTGTCATCTTTATAGCAATAATAAGATTCGATTGCAATTAATTAAGTCTCTTGGGGATTGAGTGTGAAAAAATTAAAATTCTTTAATTTTAAATCAATTTATTTTAGAATCACAGCAGAATTAATCTCAAATTCAGTATATATTGACTCTTATGAAACTATTATGAACAAATTACTATTATTTTAAGAAAAGTTCTGATAATAACAATTTTTTAATTCATCTCCTTTTAATGTTTTTTCGATTCTAATAGCATCTTATAGTGATTGAAAACAAATATGATTTTCATAACCAATACCTATAAATAATTAATCCTAATCGAATATTAAATCTGTTGATGTATTACCCTTATCAATTTAGATCAATTAAATTTAGTCTAATATTGATAAATTTAGCAATATACATTATATTTCGCTATAAATACAAATTTATTATCTTTTTTCTAAAAATACCATTTTTTGTGGATTATTGGGCAATTAGATATTCACCAACTTTTCTATTGATTAAGAATCTTTTATATCATATAATACCAACGAATTGTTATCTAATCCAATCACTATTTAATTTTAACTTATAAAACAAATAGAGAGACAACAACAATTTTATTCCAATTTATGTATTATGTTATTAGTTTTTAGATGCTTGATAAATGCTCCAGAAATTGTGGCTACAGCCAAAAGAGAGGAATCATTAGAAAATTAGAAGTCCATGCAGTTAGTGGTAATGTATAAATTATTTGGACTGATTTATTTTTCAATATTTATAATCTCGAAACCATCTGAATTTCCCATCGCTATAAATTTTTAATTTTATGCTACTGATAAGCAATAAGAAGAAGTACTCGAAAATTAAAATTAATGTTACATATAGATGTTCTCTTCATCTTGAATGTTTAATTGAAAAGCAACATAATTAGATAAAATAATACTTTAGGTATTTAAATATAGGATTTTTTGAATATTCTGCAAATTGCTTAATCTAATTTTTTTTTCAATTTGAATCGATTTTTCAAATATTTTCCATATCCTTAGAATTTCTATCTCACTTAATGATGCCATAATACTGCCATCTTAACTAAAACCTATATCTAACAATATTTCTTCAATTTCTAAACTTTAAATCAAACTACATTCAATTGAATTCAATAACTTGATTTCTTTGGATTATTTAAATTACAAAGACACAGCAAATTATGAATTTGGCCAAAAACAAATTTTATTGGACTCTATTGGCAATTACATTTATATTTCAACTTATTTTTAATCCAAATTTATGATATTCCAAAAAATAATTGTTTTATCTAAACTGCACGATACCATTTTTGTTCCATCAATTGAGAATCCAAAATCTAAAACCTAATTTGTATGAGCTTCTAGTCTTATAATTAGTCTCTGTTTTTATAAATCCCATAGACAAATAGTACTATCTTTGCTAGCTGAACCTAAAACTAAATTATCATTTCTGAATTTTAAGCATAAAATATCCTCAGTTTATTCGACAAACTTTGAGAGCATCCTTATTTGATGAAGGTTATTTAAGCCCCATATTTGGATTTAGAGGACTTCCTTTTCACTGTTTTTCTAATTGCAGCAAGCTAATATTTCAGAATTTGGAGATATCTCAATTAAATAAATTTTTAATTAAGTATCTATTCTAAAAGAGTCTTATTGATCAAGTATCTATTATACATCATATAACTTCAGTGAATTCTTTTTAGACATTGAAGCAATCATTTTACTGTCAAACGAAAATGATATTTAATTTGTAGTAACTTATTAATCTAAAGAAAATAACAAATAAACCTGATATAGGTTCTCAATATTCAAGAAATCTAATCTCTTGTTTCCTCCAATTACTAAGACTTTAGAATCTTTTGAAAATACGATTGCGTTGATAGGTTATTACTATTATTGAAACTCTATTATTTCTTAGATATCTTTTATATTGTTAGCATTCCAAATTTTAATTTTAGTGCCTCCTGTAGCTAAAAGTTAAGAATCAGAAGAAATTGCAATACACTTTATTGAATCTTTATTCTTTCCTTTTGATAGATATTTTTATTATTATAATTTTAGCAGATTTTGCATTTGCCAAAAATATATTTCTTCTGAACTTGATTTTGTTGCTAAATATTTACCATCTTAAGATAAATAAAGATTATGGTAACGATAATTTTATAATAATTACTATCCCATTTAACTCAAATCGTTTGAATTAAAGCAGTATATGCTATTTTAAGTAAGACATACTAAAAAATTGTTACTTTTAAGGAAAGTTTACAATTTTTCATTTTATGGTAAGCATACACTCTTAGGTTCCCCATCGCCTTATAACTTCCAGAGAGTTATAACTCCGTCTTCACTGCTTGATATTAAATTATTACCATCATCACTGAAAGCAATTTAATTGATTTTTGATTTATGCCCAAATAATGAAGGTTTCTCTTTGCAAATTATATTTTTCCAAGTTGAATTCTCTATAGTTGCACAATTAAAATTACATGAATCGATCTCAACATTATTAAATTATGTATGGTTCAAATTACACTTATAAAAACTGATTCCATTTAATTTTGTATCTGCTAGGCATATGTTACTTAAATCAAAATTTTCAAAATAAGCCCTTAGATAGCTTAAAAGATAAAGTGAATTAGAAGCAGATCTAATAAATTTACGATCGGAATCTAACTTTGATAATGAGACTATTTATATTAGTTTATTTTTAATTTCTTCTATCTTTAATACTTTTGGTTTTAATAAATCTAAAGTGCCTGAATAATGTTCTTATGATAGATTAAATTAATCCTTATTAAAGCTGCTTTTATATAATGCCATTTCATCAACTATTAGTTTCTCCTTAATAAAGATTCTCGTAATCAAATTCAGAAGATAGTAAGCCACAAAATATTCCTAAATGGATTTATGATTGAATGCATAAATACCACTTTTAGAATTAATCAACATACTCTTTCTTAAAATAGCTTTGTATTCAAAATCATCTTAATTTTCACTAAAATATGCATCTTCCCAAGAGGCTTCAACTCTCCTCTCTTCTTCTGCTTATTATATATGTAATTTTCCTTTTTATTTATAATTTACTTGTGTAATTTATCTTTAGGACATATCTAAAGCCAAATAAATAGAAAAGTCTAATAAGTCTGATAAAAAACTTTCGTGTGAAAGACTTTTCCCTAAATCTTTCAATTTTTATAATTACTAATTGTGATAGAAATCTACAAATATTTCATAAAAATCAAAAGCAGTAAATTAATTTAAATTAAAAGCCGAAACAATAAAGTTGGCATCTTGCCTCACTTTAAAGTGTTTGTTCGAAATTAACGTAGTATCATTAATGTATTCTATAGAATTAGCTAAAGAAAATGATTCAAAAAAGTTTTAATTATCTAAATCTTCTATAATTTAAGTAAATTATTCTAATATTACAAGTTCTAATTTTTGCTCATTAGGATTGATTTTCATATAATTTTACTCCTCAGTGTTCTAAACTTAATTAATTTTCCTTTTACAATATTTTTCAATCATATCTTTCGATTTCTAAGCTTCTGTTTTCAAAATCATAAAGTTTTTTTACAATTCAACTCTTATTATATTTGATTGTGAGTAATATTATAACATTTTTGGTAATATGTAAACAATTATTTCCATCATAAAAGGAGTGCCCATTAAATGAAATATATTAATATTATAAATCACTTTTAAAAATCTTTGTTCTCCCCATAACTAAAGCAGTTCCTTTTTTAAAGAAACCATTTAATTTGATGATAAAAAATTAAAAAATTCAACTTATTATATTTTCTATAAGAACCTTTCAACGTCCTAAGTCTAAAATAAGACTTCAGAATTTTGTTGTTGTTAAATAATAGAATATATTGTGCTTTCTAATTGGCTCCAAACCAATCTAAATTCATCTAAAGAAAAGTTCTAGCCTTTTAATTACTTAAGAAATTCATAAAACTTCTTAATCGTCCTTTTAATGCTTATTTAAACGTATATTTTAATATATTAAAAACTTTATTCTTGACTAAATGGTAATATTTCAACCTCTTTTAGAGTTTCAATACTCTAACCATAAAACCATGTTTAATATCCGATTGAATTTAATATTTCTTCTCTCGTAGTAATAATAATTTTAACAGATTACCCTGATGTTTATATATTGAGATCCTAAATCAGTCTATTTGTTTGGTAAAGGTTTGTTCCAATACATTTAAATTTCATCTCATCATAGCTATCCAATATAATTACTACTTTTAGATTTCCATTTATTATTGCATCCTTAAATTCTCTTACTTGAATTTTATCAAAGTTATAATTTTCAGATTCGAGGGCTTGCTCAATTAAATTGTGATTAGGATCTTTTAAAGAAGGGAGTGACACATAAATTGGAATCCAATTAGGCCAAATCATATCGCAACTCCATATTAATTCTTCTATATTACGGGATGCTCTACTTTTCCCTGAACCTGCTTTGCCTTTAATTAACATAATATCCTTATTCTTTTCATAATCACTCCATAAGAATTCGTTTACTTCTCCATCAAAATTATCATATCGATTTGCTATTAAAAATGTGATGAATTCACCATTACTATTAGTCTTCTTATTTCCAGTTATAGGATCATAATCCTGAGTTGTAATCTATATATGAACTTAATCTAACTGTTACTCGTGCATTGATATTTAAACCTTTTGTTTTCGTATATTTAACAACTCTTAAAAATTCTTCCCTCTTAATCTTCTTACATCATCTTAAACCCGTTTTACGCTTTCTAAAACCTAATCGATAGAAGATTTAATATTTTTCAAGTCTTTACTAATTTCTCTTAAAAATATTAAACTAATGTCTAATCTTTATGACATATCTGTAATATTATCCAAATATATTTCATAATTATCATAGGCTTGTTAGAGTTTTATTTTCATTTCATCTTAATTTTCACTAAGTAATACCTAGGTTTCTAGTTATTATATCTATCTTAATCTTGATTGCATTTCCTTTTTCAATTCATCTGAGAAATTCTGTAAATCTTTAGAGAACAACCCCTTCTACATCATTATCATTTCTTCATTTTTCAGAAGATTTCTAACACTTGGATGTTTCTCAATTATCCAAATTTGTCTTAATAAATTGTCACAAAATCCTGATATAGTTTATTCTTAAACTATTGATTACATCTTAATTAAATTGAATACTAGTAATTCCCTAACTTTATATGAAGAATTTTGAAACATATCAGACAATCCTTCTTTGTAATTCATCTTCATTGCATTTGTAAATTGCATAATCATATCTTATATTTTATCAACCTTTGCATCTTTATCTTAGACTTCCTAATTTTCTAAAAAGAGAGTATTAAAGTTAATCATTTATGTAATTACAGGAACTTATTCTAAATTAGGTTGACTTTGTAGCTTTATCATAAAATCCTCATCTAAAATAAGTTGTTCATCTTTATTAATCTTTTAACAACATTCTAAAGTTTATTTCACTAAATCAAGGAATGCTTGATTTAAACTTTCTTTAAAGGCATTCTTTAAATTACTGAGTAATTATAAATTTAATTATTAATTTTAACAACTTGCATCAAGAAGATGTTATTAAAATATTCGCTTTAACATTTTGGATTTATTAATTAAACTGTCTATCATTTAAAATACTCTATCAAAATCAAATAAATCTTTCATTTACAACTTCAATATTTCGGCTTGGTGTAATTCTACTTGATCTTTGGTTGATTATTTAATATCTTGTTTTTTATCAATTTGATTTATTAACTAAAGCTGATTATCTAATAATGTAATAATTTCTTAATATATAACATTTCTATCTTAAACTAAACCAATTAATTCTAATTTCATTTGAATTTTCGATAATAATAATGTATAATGAACTTTGATTTGTTCTTACCAATCCTTTTTTTATATTTCAATTTTTTCTTTAATAATTTGATTTGATATTTTATTGAAATCTATTAATATATCATTTGTAAATTCTACATTTTGATATTTTTTGAATACTATTTACAACTTTTCCTTCTTATCGATTATTTACGATTTGATGTATTCGTTTATATCTTTTTCGTTTTAAAATTACCTTTCAACTTCAAAATTTGTATTTGCAAACACCCCTTTTAATGAAGTTTCTAAAGATATAATTTTTCTTTGATGTAATTTAAGAATCATTATTAATCCTTTGTAAATGTTTAAATTAGAATAAATCATCATCAAAATTTTTCTTATATCACTCTCTTATTCAATTTATAACGTATCGTTTAACATAGCTTAAAAATGCACCTGAATTTCATTAACCATAAATAATATCAAATTTGGATTAAGTAGTTTAGTTATCTATTTTGCTATATTTTTTTAAGAAATATGTTCCTTCATAAAACCTTTTAATTATTTCTACCCTAAAATTGATAAAACATTTCTCTTTATGGTCGACACTTATACAACAAAATTATCTAAATAATTGTTGATATTATTAATAATAATGATATTTTAATTTATTTAAGGTTCAAAATATTATTCCAATTAAAGATCATTGATAATTAATTCATCATGGGAAATAGTTGTAAATTAACAAATTTATATCCAAAACCTAGATACTAGTTATAAATTATTTAAAAATTCTATCATATGTTTGTTTTCAACTTCTTAAATAGCTGCTAATATTTATAGCTTTTATACATTTTGTTTCTCGTCCAAATTTTCAACATTATTTAAAACTATTTTTTAAATAATAGAATTTGTCAAAATTTCTTTATTTATTAATAAATTTATCTCATTGGTTAAGCATTGTAATAAGAAACTGGATTATTTTATTTAACGCATTAGAAACATTATTTCCTATCTGTTTATTTTGATTTCTATTTAATTATTTTTTGATAGCAAGGCATTATGCTAACTCACTTATTATTTAACAGCTTCTAAATTACTTATTATCTGCTCTTTAGAAGTTCTTAATTAGGTTATTAATGCTTTCAGTATTTCTAAGTTTGATTAATTTGTTAACAGTTGAATAAAAAGTTCCAAATGATTTAATTACTCTCCTTTTTTTACATTAAAATTAAAATTGATATAGTTTGGTAATAGTTAAATTTCCTCTTAATTATGAATCAAATACTCTTAAAATAATTTCAATGCTCTAAACTTTTTAAAGATTATAATTTTTTCTTCAAAAATCTTTAGTTTGGCAACAAATTTTTTATATGGCAATTAAATTATTGCATTTTCATTTATTAGTAATTCCCAAACTTCTTAATCAGAGGTTCCTTATTAAGTAAAACTTGCTATTTAATTCTTTTGGATTATAGGTCTGAAACACATTAGATCAGATATCAAATTGATCCAACAATAATGTAACATCCAATCCTATGAAAATTTGATGTACTTTAAGTACGCATCTTAGATTGTAATAATAATATTCTGAATGGAGTATCCTAATGTTAATTAACTCAATATTGACCATTTGAGGTTTTCGAAAAAATAATAAATTTCATATATTTTTAGAGGATTTTATATTTGCTTATCATAGAAATTCAAAAGTAAAAGTTTTCCTCCTTCAATTATTGAATTTATTAATTCGTCACTAGGTTTTAGTTAGGAGATTGAAGACATCAACCCACACATAATAGAGATTGCTAATTCTTAACTTTTTCCAGAGTTTGTCCTACAATGAACAATGCAAGTCTTAATCATTTAAAGCTCAAATGCCCACTCCATTGATCCAAAATTTTATTTGCTTCTACTGTAATTTGTGATTCAATTTCAGATATAATATCCCAATAATTTTTTTTTTAAATCTTCCTTCATATACCTTTCTTCATTCTTTAATTAATATGAAAATATTATTCTAAATAGATCATTACAAATTTAGAGCAGAGAGTAAAATAGGTAACCAGAAAGCTTGAGGTAAGTAGTTAATTATTTCAGTAGTTATTCAACCATTTTTTCTATTAATTCATAATTGTGTGAGAGTAAAGATTCTTCTTGACAGATTATATGAAATTGCTCTTTATGATTTTAAAACCACTAAAATGCTGAAAGCACTTCATCTTAATACATTTTATCTTAAAACCTTAATGATTTCTCTATAATGATGTTAGTAAATTGTTATAAATCAGATGCAAAATTCTCTTCAAGTTAGTTTTATCTATAAGTAAAATCAGAATAGACTTTCTTTGTTCCACAGCATCCCCCACCTCTTAATTGAATATATGAAGTCTAATTTTGGATATTGAATTGATAATTTGAGGATTCAAATTTTTTTGGATTTTGAAACTGTTACCTATTTTCTTTTTTGCTTTTATTCTGTAAAGTCAAAGCTAATAAATTAATCTTACTTATAAATTTACTAGGCTTTGCTATTTATTAGTAAAGTAAGCACATTAATAAATAATAATAATTATAGAGATGGATTAAATATCAAAAAACGATTTATTTCATTATTTAGAATTAAGGGATGATAATTAGAATGTTAAGTAAAATCAATATTTGGGATTATAATTTAATATCAAAAAGGTATGTACGTTGTT